AAAAAAAAAAAAAAAAAAAAAAAAAAGTCAGAATAGTGGTTACCTTTAGAGGAAAAATAAAGATGACATCAGGCTGATGAGAATGCTCTATAATTTGATCAGGGTGGTTATACATTTATTTATGTAAGAAAAGTCATTGAACCGTACATTTAAGATTTGTGCACTTATGTAAGCAATGGTGCTTTAGATAAAAAAAAGAAATAATGTATGGCTTTTCTCTTGAGGGATTTATATGGCTATATAACATGTGTTTGGTATAATGACCTAACACTCTAGCTCCATTAGTCCTTATTTTCCTTTTCATCTTCTCTCTTACTTATTTTTAATCATTTTATATTGCTATTATTTGCATAATAGCATCTTCCTGAGCCATCTAAAGTCCTAGTTAGAACAGGTTATAAATAAATGCAAAAATATCTGGTGTTTCTAAATTGGACATCAGAAGACTTTGAATCACGAGATTTTCATTTTCATTCTGACTATACTTATTAAGAGTGCAATTTATGGAGAAATTACTTAAGATAATATCTATTTGACCTGTTTGTTAAAAGAATTAAATAAAACAGCATAGCTAAAAGCATTTTTCAAATTGGGAAGTGATGTAAAAATTACATTTAAAAGCATCTAATATTAATCTAGGAACACAATCTCCAATTAAATAATCAAACTAAAAGAAAGTATATTTTCAGAGGGAAAAAACTGGCTCAAATCTATAATTTCTGTCTTTCCTGAGATTATTTGTCATATTAAATGTGCTTTAAAACATTTTTGTTATCCATGTTCAAATTCTGCCCAAGTGAACACCAACATGAGTTTATATGCTTGAGAAATGCCTGGTACACCCAGGATCAACTTGTATGAAGCTATCAGAGGAGAGGATCTATTTGCCCATCAAAAAATTATTCCAGTCATGCAAAATATTTTGTTATTGGGATATATATCTACGATATACTAAGAAACAAATTAAGTTTGTAAAGTAAATTCAGTAAAATAAAATTTATGTTAGCCTCTCTTTAGATTGAAGAATTAAAGAGAGAGCACGCTTGAGTCCAGGAGTTTGAAGTTACAATGAGCCATGATTATGCCACTGTACTCCAGCCTGTGCAACAGAGTGAGACTCCATCTCAAACAAACAAACAAACAAACAAAATAGTGAGAGAAATGTAAGAGCTGTTTTCATCTCTCCTTGTGCAGATAAGCAGTTATGGAGACACAATAGCTGCTATCAGACCTTCCCAAAGGAGTTTCTGAATACTAATGTTCCGACTCTTATGTATAAGAATATCAGCTATACCAAGTGATTCTCTCAAGTTTCTTTTTAATTTAACACATTTCTCAACACATTCCAAATAGTTTCTGCCCTCAGATATCCCATTGAGATTATTCTCATCAAGATAACCTGGGATTCTCTTGTTGCTAGAATCCAACATTTTAACTCATCTCACCACTCAATATTGGACCCTCCTCCCCTCCTCCTTTTCCTCCTCCTCCTCCTTTTTCTTCTTCCTCTTCTATTTTCCCTAGAAACAGAGTCTTGCTCTGTTGCCCAGGTTGGAGTGCAAATTTGGTGGTGCTTATGTTCTCCTCTGCATCCCTTTTATTCTGTCTCCCTTGGCAATTCCGTAATCTGAATGCAAACATCATATGATAATGACTATCAAACCTCTAACTCAGCTATGATCTCACTCCTGAGCTCAAAATTTATGTAACTCTCTACTTGACATCTCCACATAGGTTTTCTGTAGAGACTTCAAAATCAGTATTAAATAGGCTTTATCATCTCTCTCCTAACCTGTTCCTGTGTCACTGCTTTCAGTGAGCACCTTATCACCCATAAAGTTGCTAACATTGAGAATCCTCTGTCAACAATTTCTTTCATGCAGCAGCAATTCCTGTCAAATTTATTTAAGTAGCTCTGCAATCCATTTACTTTATCTCACTTCTTTCAGCTACGTAACTGCTTGTCTACAATCAATTCTATTCAAAACAGCTAAATCTGATTATACCTTTTCCTCGCTTAATACCCTTTATCACTGCTAAAGACTTGCATTCCATAATTCCCATTAACTACTGCCATCATGGCTCTTGAAGAGTTATTTTTCAGAAAAATTTTCTTATCAGTGTAACAATTTTTATAGCACATTAAATGCGCTATAAGCAGTAATATTTAGACATTAAATTTTCAGGCAAAGATGACAGGGAAAGAAAACTTTGATGTGAAAGCAGTGTTTGAATGACATCTTGTTTCTCACAGAAATTTGTTTTCATTGTTCAAGAGATACAAATTTTTTCATATGTAAAAATTGTTTGTGTACATTGATTTGAGGTGAAACACATAATACCATTCTTTATTTGAAGTAATGGAAGTTTTTTCTTAATTGGTGACTTGTCACTTAGCAGGATTTATAAGAACAAATGAAAATAATTAAGTGAGAGTAAATTGTACCCTTATTGCTTTCAAGACAAATTCTAAGCTGCTTAACATCACTTGAAAGATACACGACCTAACCCCTGCTTCATCTGACACCAATCCCCATTTCACATTTTACTTTCCAGTCATATGGAGCTACAGAAATCTTGTACCAACTCAGGAGCTGTGTTTCTTAAAAGCACAAGGGATGGCAGAACTAAAACTGGCATGACTGAGTTCTCGCATATGATAGAGGGTTCAGGAAAAACACTAAATATATTTGAAATCTGCATACCACTGCAAAGAGGTATTTTAGAAAGCATCTGCTTCTAGAACAAACTGGATCAACAAGTGACTATTCTTCCGATTCCTTTCCTTGAACTCTTTTTGAAAAATTATGGTGGTATTATGAGCTAACAAGGCAGAATATTTTACATATTTTCTTATACCAACTACTTTCATTTAAAGTTTACATATCAGCCAGCCCTTATTGGTTTTAAATTGAAGTGAGTCACTCATAAATGTTGATTTTGTAGATCTGTGCCATTCACTCTGTATTTTGTTGATCACAAAACTCTTCTTAATGTCAATGATGTTTTTTTTTTTTTTAATTTTACCAATATTAGCCTGAATGTATTTGAATGGATGCAGTCGCTAAAAACTTTCTCAAAGGATCCTCTTAAATGAATGTTAGTCACTGGGCTGTACTAACAACATCTCTCTGGCTGCTTTGCAAAAACTGAATGCTAGCATATAAAAGTGGAAACAGACTACTGTGGAAGCTATTAGAATACTCCAAGTGAGAGATGGTAGTAGTTGCCAGGGATGGTGGCAAGGAGATGGAGAGAAATAGAGCACAAAGATTTTAGAATAAGCAACAAAAATGGGGAAGACTAGAAAACAAAGGTCAGGGTGAGGGAGGTAAGGAATCAACAGATCTGTCTTGGACATGTAAATTTTATTTGTCTGCTAAACATGCAAGTGGAGATTTTTAAGCAGACAATTGAAAATTTGGAGCAGAAGATGTAAATTTTAAGTCATTTCTATATAGTCATAAAACTAGATCCCAAGGGAAAGAGTGCTAATAGCCCAAAATGATTTCATATTCAATCCATCAAAGGAATTAAAATGAATAGAAATGGGCTCAACAGTGGATCAAATATCAAAAGAAGATGGCATAAAACAGGACTCTATTCCAGACTCCCTCCTCTCCAACTTACTCATGAAGGATTTGCATACTACTTCAAGTCTTTTTAGAAGGAACTGGGCATTAAATAAACAGCATAAACAATTTGTTACATGATGTGTGCCTTCTTGCCATGTCATATAGGAAATTAAACATTCTTCTCTCTACTGATCACATACTATCAGTGTGGCTTTCTAGAAGTGCCCTTAAATAGCATGTCAACCTGAACTTATTATCAAGCTCAAAACCATTTCACCAAAACCAAAAGTCTTTGGCATGTTTATGACATGCAGAGGGATAATTATTAGTAAATTCACTTTGCAGAAAACCCATCTAGTTGTAGTTCAGTATATTGTGCAATTAACCCAAGTTTTAGAACTACAGAAATGCTGTTCTCCTCAAAACAAAATATTCTAGAAAAACTATATTAAAAGCAGTTAGATAGCACAAGCTAACTCCTTCTCTTACATCCTCTTTAGCCATACATCTCTTGATACTCTGGAGACAGAGCTCTTATTCAGGATTTGCAACACGATCTCTTGGGAATTTTATTTTTTAAATATTCATACCCAAGCCTTACTCTTGGAGATTCAAACTTGGTGGGTAAGTGAAAAGAGTATTCTGAAAAAGTTCTTCACATAATTTTGCTGCTGATTCTGAGTTAGGAATTTCTGCTCGACGGCTAGGACCTCTGAGGTTTCAAGGTGGTGAACACTTGAGATCCAGAAAGATTTTTAGGAAGTTTCTTTGCCCTGCTTGCCCCATTTAATTGCCTTCAATCCACCTGTGAATGTCACCGTTTAGTTTGAATAAGAACTCAAGCCAGGTTCTTTAATTTGTATAACAAAACAGATAAATTTGTCAAATATATGTCTAGCATTTTATCTAAAACAGATGGATCTCCTCTAACAATTAAGAATAACAATATTTTAGGCAAATACAATGACTGTCATATTCATTGCTCTCTCAATTTGTTCAAAATCTACATTAGTCAATAAATGCAAAACAGGGATGATACAACATAAGTGATATTCTCACCAGTCAATCTAAGTTTCTCTTCCTGAATTATCAGGAAGTCAAATTTCTACATTGTTTCACCTTTGATTACTTTTGCTTCCTATGGGAAGGCCTTCCAACAACATAAATTTTAAACACTAAGCACTCAAGTTTTATGAAGGTTTATAAAAGAAATAGTTTCAGCTATTAAAAATGATTAAGGATATCTACATGACAAATTTCACCTCAGAGTAGATATCTTGGGAAAATGTATCTAATATAAATTGATATGCCTGATTTCATTTATAAAGAGAATGATTTCTACCAAGAACTACTGCAGTAAGTTTTATGTGCCATACCTAATCAACGCTTTCTGGTTCAAGCATCTTTCCAAATCAATTTAATTTTTAATCTTTTTTTCAATGATGCCATCATGCCTATGGCTTTTATTATAAGTTACTTCCAATTATTTTTGGAAAGTGGTTTATTAATAATAAAATCTATCCTGGATTCACTCTCTCATAAAATCAATATTTATTTATTTTTAGTTATTGAGAGAACACCTCCAACAAGTGTAGTGTGAAGATTTTCTGAGTTAAATAATCAAAAACCCTGCTTTAAAAAAAAACACTACCAACCATGACAAGGGTTTTCTTTCAGGAAGTTCATATCGTGGTCAAGGATTATGACTACTCTTTTAGCATCTGGAATAGAATTTTGTGAGCTCCTCTTCCTCTTTTCTATAACATCACCATTAATGATATTTAAGCACTTTCTATGTGTCAGGGACTGTACCACGAGCTTTGCCTGCAAGCTTATCTAATCCTCACAACAAAGTAAAACCTGATCCTAATAATGTACCTATTTTAGATGAGGAATATGAAATTTAAAATGTTCAATATCTTGCCCTCAATACATGTTTTAAAATAAATGCATAAACTTGTGCAGCTAGATATATGATTAGGAGAAAAAAAGTATGGAAATGCCTCTTCTCTAGATGCAGGGATAAAATTTCCCCTGCTGCTCTCAGGAACTTGGCCTTTATTGATCTCACTGGAAATCAGAAAAATGGCTTTGCTTTTTCCCTTTTGCAATGGGCAAATAATTGAACCTAACACATTATATGGTTGACTTTCTTTAGTCTGAGCTTTGACTTTTCTATTTACCTGTGTTATTTATGTTTCAAATCTAAATAAAGGCTTAGCCAGTGGTAGATCCACTGACCAAAGGATCAGGTAGATAGAGTTGACTGTCCCAAGGTTCTTAGGTTCCTAGTAACAAGGGATCATGGGCAGCATTCACTCAGCTGACCACGCAATGTCCCCAAAATCGGTCTCTCACAGCACTTTTTTCTGTTACTGCATACGAAGAGGTAGCCATTGTCTACTTACCATGAGGCATATAGTTTACTATAGCCTTGAGGATATGTAATACAGCATTTGACTCATATATTTGACTAAAGTGTTCCAAGATTACTTAACAAAAGAGTTTATTGATCCAATATGTTTTATATGGAAGCCCTGGATTGGACATCAGGAAACCTGGTACATAGTGCTGGTACTTATTCTAGTGATATCTGACTCCAGATAAGTCATTTAAGTGCTCTGAGCCTTAGCTCCTTAACTGTGCATGAGAGAATTTTGTTAAATTGTTTTGAAGGTCTCTCCCAACTCTGAAAATCTGTGAAGTTACCAATCTCTCTGATTTACCGTATCAAGCTACTCTTTATTGAGCTAAACTTCTACTTCATGTAATCTTCTTTAATTTGGAAGAAAATAATTGAAAGTCAACAGGCCAAATTAAGAAAGCGCTTTTTTACAGCACAAGGATAAATTTAAGCATGATATATTCTCACATGTTTCATACAGTCATTCATGAGACTTTATCATTACTCATTTCCCTAATTGACTTTAAATTTGAGCGTTCTGATACACAGAGATGAGGTCAAAATAATCATTGATGAATTTTGTTTTAAAATTATAAAAAAATTGTTTCCTATTGTATCACACCCTGAATGAGGACATTTTTTCTAAGTTACCAGATCTTAATACACTGCATTTATTTATCTAAGATTTGTAGTTATAGACTGCTCTCTAAGCCTATAAATATTTAACATAATATTTCCTTACAGATGTTTAGGAAAAACAAGCCTTTCCTTTCTCTAATTCCTCAATTCAGTGAAATCAGCTCTTTGCTGAGAAATTTTACCATCACTTGCTTCCAAGCCCAGGGAAATCTTTGATCTTAAAAAAGAAAAAAATCTGAACCTCAATTTACATGTTTATTCCACGAAAACTAATTTTCTACTATTATTCCTACTTATCATATTATTATCCTGTATTTTAATTCAATTTACATACAACCATGCTTATTCTAAGTTTTATGTTAACTATTTTAGAGACATCCCTGCCTGCATTTCTTTCCTTATTCCAAAAATGGCAATAAGCCAAGCCCCACTTTATTCTAACTTAATTTTTCCAGACTTCTTAATGGCTATGTCAATTTCCTGTCATTGTTCTCCTATAGGATTTCCTTAGTCCCCTCCCGATGCCTTTGGCAGGTACACATTTATACTGAAATTGATAAAGGCAGGGAAAAGTCATCAACACAGTCAGAAGAGAAGAGACTTATTCATTATGACGTAACTAAGCTGAAAAGCACAGCTAATGGACTATTTTGGTAGCATGACTTGAGATGCAGAAGCCTTTTAGTCGCTGGAAACGGTTACCTCTAAATGGCACTCCCAAGGTCAGGAAGGAAACATGACATCACTGAGAAGCAGCTGTGTCTGAGGTAGTGAAAAGAAGCTTCAAGAAGCTCCTGTGTTTCAACGTACATTAATCATGACTAGTTGGTTAAAAGATAAGAAAAATACAAGGATTTAAGGGCAAATTTAGAAAACTCCAAGAAAAAAAAGAGTTTGAGTTTCATTTTCATATTCAGCGAACTCTTAACTTTGGCAGAATGTTTCTTAATAAGCATTATAGTTTTTTCATTCTGTAAAGAAAATAAGTGATATCATTTTCTTCTCACCTGTAAGTTCAAGAGTGCTCCAGTTTTCCCTACAGAGTCTAGTGTGAAAATTCAGACACTTAGTTCACATTTATACGTGTGTGGATTTGGACAAGAAAGAGGAGATATTGAGCATGAGCATTTTGAAACACAATATTCTAAAAAGTATATCATTATTAGAGAACCCTGACATAGGATTTAAGGACTCCAAAGAACCCAATGTTAAAACATGCTTGAAAACTATTACTTTTTCTATTGTTAAGAGTTTTACTCAAAGTAGATAAAGTTTTGCTATCAGTCCTATTCCTATGACAATCTAGCTCTTTATTTTTATTTAGAAGCTATACTGACCAGCAATATGTTGTCAAATTAATGAATACTATTATCAACAATATGTATGTTAAATATTAATATATATGTTTATGAAAATGGTTAACTTTAGTCTTGTTTAAAATTGCACCTCTTGAATGAAGTATCTTAGTTCCTATTGCTCTGTTACAAATTAATACAAACTTAGTAGCTTAAAACAACACAATTTTATTATTTTACATCCCAGAGATCAGAAGTCTGAGTCCAAGTGTCAGCAGGGCTGCATTCCTTCTGGAGACTTCAGGGGAGAAGTTATTTTCTTGCCCTCTTTGATTTCTAAAGGCTGTCATCATTTCTTGGCTCCTGACCCTTTGAGTCTGTGCTTACATCTTTTGCTACTTTCTTTTCTCCTATCCCTCTCTTATGAAGTTTGTAAGTATATCAGACATACCTAGATGATTCAGGACGATCTCTCAATCTCAAAATCTTCAATTTAATCCATCTGCAAAGTCCCTTTTGTAGTATAAGGTAAGATTTATATGTTTAGGAAATTAGAATGTAGACATCTTTGGAGGACCACTTTTAGCCTAGCACAGTAAGATGCATTTACTCAACAATGTACTTTACAAATCCTAGTCTTAGTGAAAGATGACCATCAAAAGTCAGTTAAAATATATTTGTAAGTAGAAGTGACACAAAGATTTTACAAGGTAACAACATTCTAAACGTGGCAATACTGGGAATTAATTAAATGTGTGACAGAAAAGCACTGCAACAAGGAAACAACAGTCCATCAACTTAAGAAGACTAAAAAGGTAAAGGAATGATAAATATAATTAATCTTATCTGGAATTAAGTTGGAAATTATGGAACTTACAATTGCAAGCTTTGAGTGAATAAACATAGATTTTGTTAAAGTTTTAAAGAAAAAATTTCCATCAACAAATCAACAAATGAACAAATTGTGATATATCTATACAACGGAATATTACTCAGTCATAAAAAGAAATGAAATACAAGCTACAACACAAATGAACCTTGAAAATATTGTTGTAAGTAAAAGATGTCAGACACCACAAAGGGTCAAATTCTGTAAGATGACTTTTATAGGAAATTTCCAGAATAGGAAAATTCAGGGACAAAAAAACATATTAGTGGTTGCCAGAGGACTGACAGAATGGAGAGGGATTACTTACCCTTTTCTCATTTAGAAAAACGTGCAGCAGCAATTGCTGTCAGCACAGCACCCTGGGTCGGGGGGCGGGGGGGCGGGGAACAGGTAAAGGGTAATGGATACAGAAATTATTTTAAAAGTTTTGAAACTAGAGCAATGTGATAGTTCTACAACATTGTGAATGCACCAAATGCTACTAGATTGTACACTTTAAGATTTTTAACTGTATGTTATATGAATTCCATCTCAATTAAAAAAAGAATTCTAAAGAAATCTCAACATGACAATGTTCTTAACAGTATTGTGTATATAATCAGTTCAATAGTAGGTTCTAGAGAGATAAGGAGAAGTATAGAAATTAATCTCAAAAAGTGGTTTTTGAGATTAAAATCCTGGATCAGATAATGAATGACCTCTGCTTTAATTTCAACTAACCACAAATTAGCCATGTGACTCTAGGAAAAATCACAACATGTGTGTACTCATTTATTGATTCATAAATTAAATCAATCAGATAATTTCTAACATTAAACTTCAAAATTATATTATTCATTTGCACCTCTGTTCACACTAAGCTAGTTTCTTTGGAATACAAAAACAATTAAGAAATTTTCTGTCTCTGAAATTTACATTTCAATGTAAAAACCAAATATGTTGTTTTCTAATTATTTGAGTACATCACTTGTGAACAAATTTGTTTACTATCACCAATGAATGGAGAGACAGGCGCACACACATAGACACACACACACACAGAAAAAAAGAGGAAGAAAAGGATGTATGAACACCTACCAATGGTTATATCTGGATGGTGAGATTACAATATTTTTGTTATCTTTACTTTCTAATTGTGTTTTAAAAGAACATGTATTATTTGTGCAGAAAAAATACAAATCCTGCTAAATTTGTCTCCATATTTCAATGTTGCAGCATGTCTAAATCTGCAGTTATTAGGAATTCACAATGATCTGAATAAACACTAATATTTTCAGGAACAAAAGAAATAATTTATCTTAAAGAAATCGTTCAAAAAAAGCAAAAGGTTATATACAAGAAGATATTCATTACAGCAGTATATTTATAACATTTCCACATTGAAAGTTACCTCAAGATCTCAAAAGAGAGTAGTAGTTTAATACAAAATCTAATATCTTTAAGGATTATGAAGTTTTAAACATGGAAGAAGGAGTTTGTTTATTCCTATTGTTCAGCTTTCCTCATTCCCTCAGGTCCCTTTGCTGTCTTCCAAGGCTGGTTTTATTAGACTGGTGTGAAAGGGGGCATCCTTCTCTGTGTTGTCTAGATAGGGGACAACATATTAAGCACAATGTTCTAACCACACCTGTGCCATGTGATTCTGAACAGCATTTCTACATCTGCCCTGCTACATGAGATCAGATACAATCTTCACTAGAAAAAAGAATGCCATTAGTGTTCAAAAACGTTTTGGAACATTTTACTTGAATCAAGGAATCACTGACAAGATAAAGTTTTGGATCTGCATGGACCCATTCACCCCACTTGCTAGATAAGGATAAGAAATACAGAAAGGAAAAAAAAAATCACTTTGCCTACCGTTACTCATTTGGTGTCAAAATTGGAGGCTTAGTCCAGCTCCAGACCTAGCCCAAAACTCTTTTTACCATACGACCAGAACTTAATCTTTACCAGATGGTATAAAAATCAAACCAAAACAAAGCAGAGCAATCACTTGAAAGAAGATCAATGCAACCAGTTGCATGGCTTAGGTAATTATTAAGCATGTTATTGCTGTTTGTTAAATGGCCAAACATGGTTCAGCATGAAGACACAATTAAGTTTAGGAATTGGGAAATATGACAAGATTCTTGATTTAATTTCAAAGTTTTCTGCTGTAATCATTCTGAATTTTCAGAGATTAGAATTATTGCATCCTAAACTCTATTAAGATGTGTGCCAAGTGAATTTCCATGTGCCTCAGTGGTAGGTGACCATCACTGCTTGATATTTATACAAATTGGATTGTTCCTGTCCTTTCTTCATCAATCTACAGAAAGTTCCTTGAAAAAATAACCTCAAACTCATCTTCTGAGTCAGTGGTCATCCTTAAAACAGAATATCCAGGGGATTTCAAATTCCCTGGCCATTTTCTGAGGCCATCATATTTATAAGTAGGTCATCAAGAGCAAACAGGTAGTTAGGAAACATTATAATGAACATAAGAGCAGGCAATTAGCAGAGGAGACAACTCTCCCCTAAATCAAAGTGCTTGGCTATTAAAGAACTTGCTGCTGTGTCTTTAACTTTATAGGCAAGTACTTGAATATACAGAATCTAACCAAAGGAATAATCTCTGGACATATCAAAGGAAAGGTCTCTGGGCATATCTCTAGTAGCAATGACACTAATTCTCTTTACATGTGTTTCTACAGTACCCAGTTAGCAAATTAGCGCCAAAGTTTCATAATTATTTTATCCAAAGCCAAAATTGGATACTGCCAATAAATAAGTTTAGCAAATATATACTTAGCCTCATATTGGTGCTTTTAGGGAATATTCCTTTGTTTGACCACAGATCCTTGGCTCAAAAAAAATTGTGTGCTGTTATTGAAAATTCACTGTAATTCACTGTTTTCTCGAAAATTCATGACTCTCTTACACAATACAGATCATGGAAATTGTGCTTGTTTCACTGATGAAGCTATGTTCTCCCATTTTTGTGAATATCTACTCAAACATTTATCATTTAATGCTTTTTCCTATGCATTTGCCCTGCTTCAGACATCTTGAAGTGTTGGTCAACTGTTTTCTAAAAAACAACAATAATTAGCATTTGATTATTTAGTAAGTGATAAGAAAAGTATAGTTTCTACATAAACTATTTTAACCTAAAGTAGTTCCAAATGATATAACTCTAAAATTCTAGCCTTCCAGCCAATGTCTTTCCATTTCCACGAAAAGGAATCTGGGAGGCAGAGGACACATTTATACTTAATCCACTTTTGCAACACTCCACACCAATTCCCAGTTCAGCAAAATGTTCAGCATTTTTGACTCTATTAAAATTATTGCAGCTAACTTCCATATGCCTCAGTGGGGTGTGACCATCACTGTTTGACATTTATTGGGTTGGAATGCTTAGTTATAAAGATTCAAAATTATTTGTATCACCAAACCTGAAATTATTTTAAAAATAAGGCATAATTATAATTTTTAAAATAATCTTTAGGGTGTTAGGAAGTTATTCTAATTTGACTCCTTGTTTTGCTGACATATAAGCACAGATTCACAATTTTCCAAGGATATCAAATAAAACTAATGATGTATTCAGCCATCGAGCCATTACTTAACACAAATTAAGCATTTACAGCTAATGAGGAACAGTGCTAGACTTTTAGAATACCATAGTGAATGAGACATAGTCTCCGTCTTCAGGGAGATTATATTTTAGAAGGAAGATAGCAAGTAAACTGATACATCCCGTAGAGTAGGACAAGCTATTATGACATGATAGACAAGTGTTATGTACATAGTAATTTCTATGAACTAAAGCGTATATAGAAGGGTACCTAACTCTGTCCTCGTCAATCTGGAAACGATTCTTGCCGAAGTGTCATGTAAGCTGGAACTGTAGGATGCGTAGGAGTTACAAGGAACCAGTGTCCCTGTGGGGGTGTGCGTGAATGTCTAAGCGTACGTGTAGAAAGAAGCTTTCCTGAAACTGAAAGTAGTTCAGTACACTGGAGCATAAACTGGCTTGTTGTAGTGTGTATGTGATAGGGTGAAAGTTAGAAATTGAAAGACTGAACCAGACTAAAGTTCTTTCTGTTCTATACCAAGAAATTCGAACGTTATTATGGGGGCAATAGGAAAGTGAAAGGTTTTTTTCCCCATTTCTTTTTTTACCTTTCTAAGAAACATTTATTATTGTGGCAAAATGCATGCAACATAAACCTAACATTTTAACTATTTTTAAGCAGTTCAGTGGTATTAAGTACATTCACATTGTTGTGAAACCATCATCACTATCCATCTCCAGAATATTTTCATCTTGCCGAACTAAAGCTCTATAGCCATTAAACACTAATTCTCTCTTCCCTGCAACCCCTAGTCCCTTGGAATTAAGATCCTACTTTCTGTCTACAAATTTGACTACTATAGATATCTCACATAAGAAAGATTATGTAATAGTTGTCCTTTGTGACTGGCTTATTTCAGTTAGCATAAATGTCTTCAACTTTCATTCATGTTGTTGCATGCCAGAATTTTCTTCCTTTTTAAGGCTAAATACTTTTCCATTGTGTATATATATCATTGTTTATATATTTATTAATTAATGAACACTTGTGTTACTTCTGGTTTTTGGCTATAGTGAATAATGCTACTATTCACATGGGTTTACAAATATGTTTTCAATTCCTTTGTGTATATACCCAGAAGTGGAGTTGCTGAATCATATGGTAACTATTTTTAATTTTTTGAGAAACCACCATGTTGTTTTTCACAGTGGCTACATCATTTTATATTCCCAAAAGCAATGCAAAAGCATTCCAATTACTCCACATCCACACTAACATTCCTCATTTTGCTGGTTTTTCGTGCTAGCCATCCTAATGACTATGAAGTAGCGTCTCACTGCGTTTTTTTGTTTGTATTTCTCTTGAACTCCTGACCTCAGGTGATCCACCCACCTCGGCCTCCCAAAGTGCTAGGATTACAGGCGTGAGCCACCGTACCCGGCTTTGTTTGTATTTCTCTAACGATTAGTATTGTTGTGTATCTTTTCTTGTGTTCATCATTCTTTGGATAAATATCTATTCAAGTCCTTTGCTCATTTTTTATTTGAGTTTCTTTAATGTTGAGTTATAAGAGTTTATATGTATTCTGGATATTAATTTTTTTATTATACTTTACGTTCTGGGGTACATGTGCAAATCGGGCAGGATTGTTACATAGATATACACATTCCATGGTGGTGGTTTGCTGTATCCATCGCCCTGTCATCTACATTGGGTATTTCTCCTAATGCTATACCTCCCCAATCCCCCTACCGCCTTCTCTGCCTCCCCTAGCCCCCACCTCCCAGGCCCCAGTGTGTGATATTCCCCTTTCTGTCTCCATTTGTTCTCATTGTTCAACACCCACTTATGAGTGAGAACATGCAGTGTTTGGTTTTCTCTTCTTGTGTCAGTTTGCTGAGAAGGATGGTTTCCAGTTTCATCCACATCCCTGCAAAGGACATGAATTCATCCTTTTTTATGGCTGCAGAGTATCACATGGTGTATATGTGCCACATTTTCTTTAGTCTATCATTGATGGGCATTTGGGTTGGTTCCAAGTCTTTGCTATTGTGAACAGTATTGCAATAAACATATGTTTGCATGTGTCTTTATAATAGAATGATTTATAATTCTTTGGGTATATACCTCGTAATGGAATTGCTGGGTCAAATGGTGAAACTGAGTATTAATGAGCTGAAATGGGTTGTCTGAAATGTCTCATGTTAATACAATTAACGATAAAGATGGCCTAGAATTAGATCATTCCACTCACCACAACTAACTGCTTACTCTGTGCCAGACACTGTAAATGGCACTGAAGATGAAAGATACATAAGACGTGGATCATTGCCCTTATTTGTTTTGGATTTCCTCCCATGTTTGCATGATTTTCTCTTTCCTTTGTTCAAGTTGCCAAGGGCAGTTCTAAACTCTAGAACATCACAAAGGACCACTACATTCCCGCTTAGCTAGGTGGTCCCTGGTTCTTTTACTCTTCACTTGACTCTATAAATCCCCAACGTGATACAGGACTTGGGATGGGGCTGACTCATTCACATGATAATACCCTCCAATCCATAGCTTCTGGGAAAATAAAACATTCTAAAGTCAATTTCTGGAAATTTTTATTACACTGTCTGAATTGTGATGCTTTGTATGAGGTAAAAGGTGGCAATTAAAATTTGTTAGGTGAGTCTTAGGTTGTTTGTCACTGATCTAGACTCTATATTCAGAAAACAGAATGTAAAACTTATTATTTATCTTAGAATCTACTCTTTAAAAAATGAAAACATTCCCAGTCAAGGGTTACTTATAGTGTTCACTGATTCACATGCAGTTTGGATACATGATCATGGGAACGGTTTTATATATCCCTGAAGTAAAAACCATATTATGGTCCCACCACTGTTCCTAGAAAAGACAGACATGTGGTGTGTTTAAAAAAAAAAAAAAAAAAGTCTTTTTAAAATTCAATTAAAGGCGATAAGGTATAGCTACCAATTTTAAAGAAGGTTAGTTTTTAGGCAAAGTGAGTTAAAAAAAAAAGACATATCAATCAAAGATTTCCAAGGTTTATCACCAGCCACAACATGAAATTGATTTTATAAAAATTAACCCACTCAGCAACGATTTAAATAGCATTTTGGATTCAATGACTTGTCACAGTATATGTCAGTAGCTATTTTCCTGAGAATCTGGTATAATAGGATAAAAAAATAAAAATTCAGTTTTCATCTAATGATCACTTAGCCTTCAGAGTGCAGGAAATAAGTACTAAAAAAACTCTCTGGGGTTTAAAGCATAGACTGTCTTAGGCTATGAAGTACTAAAGTTAGCAAACCACATTTTCACATCTTCCTTTGTAGTGAGAACCGAAAATGACACAAAATCCATTCTGTGATAATAATATCTTTCAGCTTTTCCATTATTCCCTAAAGATCCAAATATCTGTCATTCTCATACTGCTAGAATCTCTTCACCAAGGTAAAATTGAGAAAAGTATCTGTGTCCCAGTTTCCACTTTACAGTATTGCACCTGTCAATCAGACCCACCCACTACCACAAATCAGTTGTTAGAGGTTTGCAGAATGAATTGAGTCCCCCAGATAAGAAACAGTAAAAAATGTATGTAAAATTTCAACACATGAGGATTTTGAGGGTATTTAAATCCTGAACTTCTTATGATCTACATGGAAGGGTATGCAATCTACACAATGTTAGTCATATCAAAGTAGCAGTGTTTGCTGGTGGAGTTATCCTCAACCTCAGAGATGGCATTTGCTTTCATGCCAAATCTACTAAGATATTTTAATACAATTGTCGACATCTTAAAAATAAATTCCAGGTTTTATTACAACTTATATAAGTAATGAAGGAAAATACTTAAATTGTTAGTTTGGTTAGACGTCTAAAAAGTAATATGCTAAACCCAAACCCTCCTCATAATTAAGGAATCAAGGAAAACAAAAGGAAGACAAGTATTACGTTACTCTAAATTTTTCACATTTTACAGTTATGGTTACCTTTTTGAAAGACATAGAATTTATGGGAGATCAGTCTGGAAGAAATTAATAATTGGAAATTATCAGATTTGTGAATGTTTATGCTACTTCAAAAATTGAAAAAGAAATGATATTCAGAAGTTTGATATATTTACTAAATATGATAAAGCTAAAGTTTGAAGGAAATTTCTACTATACTTTGGGAAAATGGGATAGGATAGAAATAAGAAAAAAATTGACAGGTTACTTGGAGAGATTTGAAAAAAGAATATACTAAATTTTTTAAATTCTACAAAAATGGAAAATAAAATGCTCAGCAGGTAAGCCTGATGCCATTTCAATATGTCATAGACTGCTGGGTTAGATTTAAATATAAAAGGCTATTTTAAATAAGGAGTAAAACCTAAAATATGAAGAGCTAGATAGTGATTTCAAGGTGAGTATAGTAGTAGCAGTGTAGGTGGCAGGCAGGGAAAGAATGGGAGCATTAAATAAGTAAGGAAAGTGAAGTCAATAGGCAGAGTTAAGACAAAGTATTAAATACTGAGATCAAGTTAAGGAATGAATAGTCATTTATTCAATAATTGTTAAGTGCCAGGTGCTTACAGACATTATCTTGTTTAAGAAAATATACATACTAAACTCTGCTTGCAAGCCTAAAGGTGTTTCAAAATGTAGGTTTTATTTCATTTTGGTTTTTTGGAGATGGAGTCTCGCTCTGTCAGGCAGGCTGGAGTGCAATGTCGAGATCTCGGCTCACAGCTACCTCTGCCTCTGCCTCCCAGGTTCAAGCGATTCTCCTGCCTCAGCCTCCTGAGAAGCTGGGATTACAGGTGCCCACCATTATGCCTGGCTAATTTATGTATTTTTAGTAGAGATGGGGATTTCATGTCAGGCTGATAATGAATTCCTGACCACAGGTAATCCACCCGCCTCGGCCTCCCAGAGTGCTAGGATTACAGGCATGAACCACGGTACCTGGCCCCAAACGTAGGTTTATTATTCAAGTATGATGAGGCCAACAGATCAGGAGATGATTACTATTGAAAAGATGGTTTCTTACAGTTCCCAAGAGGAACGGGCATACCACACCACATGAGGGGCCACATGAGGAAGCACCAGGGTCAGTCAGGAGGCAGAGGGAGTGGCAAGAAAATGTGGACGACAGCCTTTATTATGGTTCCACAGGCAACAATGGACAGAGCAGGGTAGGCTGGCTTAGGATTGGTTAGAGTAATTGTTTTGGATTCTGGGGTATAAGGGCTATCTCTAGTTGTCTGGTACTTGATAATAGGATGATTAGAGTAGGAAAATAGTGGCTTAGTGTAAAAGTCTTGACAAAGAAAGAGTTTGGGATATGGGCTCTTGCTTTGTTGGTTTTCATATCTAAGAGGTGTCTTGAATAAATGTTTGCTATCTCTAGGAATTAGCTAGCCCCAGGAAGGGCAGCCTCTCCAGAATCAGCAAGGTTCAGATGTGAAAACATCCCATCAAAACCAACTATGAACCCAGACAAAAATATATAAAATAATTTGCTTTAGGCATCAGACAACAGGCAGTACAGGACTATGGTTACTGAGAAAATCGAAGCAAAAAATTTGAATCCTATGATGACACTAACTTACTGTTAGAGGCAATTTCTAGTCCATAGGGCAGAATGAAAAACACAAACAGAGGCTGAGCAGACATAGATGAGAATTTGGGAGACCAGGTCAGGTAGAATTTGTGGAGCAGAATACCAGAGTAAAGGTAGTTAAAGGGTGTGGGACAGGGACAATGGTTGGTCAAGACATGCAGAGGGCTCTTATAAAATCTTCAGCTGATCTGTGCATGCATGGAATGAAATTCATGTCTGAGGGGGAAAAAAACCATCAGAAAACACTTGGCTTGACAGTTTCTGGACTTTACTCAGGACTAGAAGGTATTTGCATACACACCAGCAGAAGTAGGATTATCTCATAATACACAAGCCACAGGCTAAAATTCTCAGAAGGGACCAGCCTTAGAAATAAGGCTAAGTTGATCTTAGACTAAATACTATGCTGGGTCCTTAATGCCAAGGCTCAAAAGGAGCAAACTGATCTCAACTTACCCTATGCCAGAATAAATTCCAATGTAAATTAAGGGACTATGACAAAATCTAGCACTTGACAATGTAAAATTCACCATGTCTGGCAACTAATCAAAAATTAACAGGCATACAAAGAAGGAGAAAAATCGTATTCATAACCAGTAAAAATAAAATCAATCAAAAGAAACATTACCATAATAATAGCAGTGATACAATTAGCAGACAAGATAATTCAGTCACTTAAAAATTTTTTGACACATTAAATTTGTATATATTTAGGGGGTATATGTGAAATTTTTTACATGAATAGAATGTGTAATGATCAAGTCAGGGAATTCAGGATAGCCGTCTCCTGAGTATTTATCACTTCTATGTGTTATTCTAAGTCCTCTCTTCTACTTATTTTAAAACTACAATACATTGTTGTTAACTACAGTCACCCTACTCTTCTATCAATGACTAGAAATCATTCCTTCTATCTAACTGTATATTTTTATCCATTAACCAATCTTTCTAACCCCTCTGGCACCCATATACCCTTCCCAGTCTCTGGTATCTATCATTCTACCCTCTATCTCTATGCAACTACCTTTTTTGCTTCCACCTATGAGTGAGAATATGCTACAATTGTCTTTCTCTGCCTGGCTTATTTCACTTAGCATAATGATCCCCAGTTCCATCCGTGTTGCTGCAAATAATGTGATTTCATTATTTTTTATGACCAAATAGTATGCCATTGTGTACATATACTACATTTTTTTCACCCATTCATCCATTGATAGACACTGAGAACACTGAGATTGATTCCATATCTTTGCTATTTTGAGTAATGCAGCAATAAACATGGAAGCACATGTATCCTTTTGATATATTGTTTTCCTTT